AAATTAGGATGAAAAGAACGTGGCACGATTAAAAGTACGAACAATTTATTCCAAACATTTTCCAAAACAATAGTTGTAGTCCAGTCAAGGAATGAGGTGTAGAGTGCGTGAGCAGGTAACTAAGCGATTCCTTCAGAAACTTGTTCTGGGGGCTTAGGGTGTTAACATACCAAAAGTCCTGACTCCTAAGTGGTGAGCCAGGGGGTGGAGGGGGGGAAAAGGGGGGGAAAAAGGTACGCATTTTGGGTTTTTTGATTATATCTCGAAAACTATCAACTTTTTGTATACTATAGTAAATTATAAAATTGAAGAAGATTAAATTTTCTACAAGAAAAGTATATAATGTGTTTATTTTGGTTCAACAGATTACGAGTTATAACTTATTTAATTGATATCTTATTAAAATACTCCTTCCATAAGAAATACATGTAAATTAGTATGCGAAATGGGGCGAATCCTATCCGCCCAAAGGAAATATAACTGATATTCTGGAAATCTAGACAAAATTTTCAGTAATTTGACACTTTAATCATTAAAATTGATCCAAAATTAAGGCGAGGGCGAGGTAACAAAATGTCGAGTTTTGGTGTTTTTTATTGGAAATATAAAAAAAAACCTTAAATCATCCCATTTTTAAACGCTCACCCTCGCTTTAATTTTTGACAAAATTTCATTATTAAAGTGTCAAATTACTGGAAATTTGGTCAAAATTTCCAGAATATCAGTTATATTTCCTTTGGGCGGATAGGATTCGCCCCATTTCGCATACTAATTTACATGTATTTCTTATGGAAGGAGTATTTTAATAAGATATCAATTAAATAAGTTATAACTCGTAATCTGTTGAACCAAAATAAACACATTATATACTTTTCTTGTAGAAAATTTAATCTTCTTCAATTTTATAATTTACTATGGTATACAAAAAGTTGATAGTTTTCGAGATATAATCAAAAAACCCAAAATGCGTACCTTTTTCCCCCCCACTGACCCTTAGACCCCCCCCACCCTCCAAATGTCTTTTTTTGATTGAACTGGCTTTGGTTGTCGTCGCCAACATTCTCTACCACATTTCAGTTTTCTTTTAAATAATTAAGGAAAAAAATCTCCCATTTTCAGTTTTTGCCCTTAAAATTTCGCAGACTGATAACAACCAGGCCTACGCGCAGGAACCATGGCAGGAACCTGCCCATGTAGGCCTATCCCATAAGTAGGCTATGGCAGATTCGTATAACAATTATAGTTGTACTACTGTAGTTAATCTTGCTCTCTGTTTTCATTTATCTTTATCTTTCTGTAATAATATTGGGATAAATAAACGTATTTCATTTCATTTAATTTAGCAGCAGCTAACCTTACATTTAGAAAAGTAGGTGCACAGTGTCACACGTCATTTTAATCAACTTAATGGCTGTTGTATTAATAATAAAAGGCAATTTCTGTGCGATACACGCTCAGTAACATATCAGGAAAGGGGTTTTACACAGTTTTATCAGCACCACTTAACATTATCTTACCAGTACCTTGAAACGTTGCGTAATTTCTTTTAATGCGACCACTATTCTTGCGGAGAACAGTTAACGTCTAAGATAAAGCACGTATTGTACAGTGCCTATCTTGGTACCATTTACTGTTGCTATAAACAAGTTTGCTGAAACAGGTATTTTCTAGAATTATGAATCATTCTTGTAATTCATCAATTGGGTATGTTGCTAGCCAAGTGGTTAGGGTCTCGGTTTCAGTGTGGGGTGGACAGGTTCCATTCCCAGCATCCAGAAAACTTTATTTTCACGTCGACCTATTGTAAAATGCCACTGGCGTAGAAATGAAAATTGTTAATGGTCAATAGTATATGATTATTTCAAATTGAAGATCATCTATGCGTATGAAATACTAATTTGCTAAAAATATTCAAGGTTCAAATGCGGATAATACCATAGTTCTTAAAATGGACGGGCACTACTCCGACAGGGAGCCACCCGATACGTTACGTTCATTTACTGCGCCAAGTGGCGGCCCTATTTGGCTGTATAATTGAGTAGGTTAGGTTAGGTTCAGTTAGGTTAGGTTAGGTTAAGTTAGAAGTTAAGTTAGGATAGGATAGATTAGGATGAATCGTTAAAGGACATTCCGACAACTCACCTCTGACTTGCCAACGCTCTGGCTTGGGCTTGGCGCAATTAAGGAACTCTTTGAAGCAATTAATTCGCGATCCTTAAAAATTCTTAAAAAAATATCAAATTTCTTTTCAATTTTATCCATTAACTTCCTGCCTTTTGTAGGTGTTTCAAACTGAATAACCTATTACATTCAGTATGAAGTAAACTTATTTTTACCTTAAAATAAAACAAATTACAAAACGGTTGCGGGTAGAACCACCTGGACGAGATCAATGCAATACACCAATCTCTGATATTACCGCATCAATTTAAACGCGGCGCACGGCACGGCGCTAACAGGTGATTAACAGCTGGTGTCCTCAGTGATTATGGCGCCAACCGGTTAAATATGGCGGCAAATTAGCAACCCCATCCCCACCTCTCGCAGGGTGTGAAATAGACTAATTACAGTCTCCCCACCACGTACCGTATGCATCAATCGATTGGGCGTTTTTAAATATCATTCGATATGTTGATTATCGATGATGGGATCGTATTTGGCCATTTTCTGTGTTCATGGTTACATTTAATGGCTGTACAATCTGTGATACCTGATATAATGAGTAATTCGCTTCTCGTGTTGCTTTTCGTTCCATACTTCAAGCAAAGGATTAAAATATCCATAAATAAGTCAAACTAAACTCAAACCTTACTATTGTAATACGTTTTATCAACACATCTCATACGCATCCAGTAGAACACTTAGGTTTTGGATTGGTTTAAAAATACTCCTTTATTATCGTCCCTTAATGTATCAGCTGAATACGAGTTTACGTAAGGGTCAGAACGAACCCTAAAATGTAATGGAAACTCGGTAAAAATGATGTTTACAAATGGTATATAAAAGGCAAATTATGTACCTACTTTTTGCAGCCTTATTTTACTCCTTTATTGGACAACGATTACTATTAACCATGAGGCAACTCTTTGATCAATTAAAGAAGATCTTTCTTGAAGTCTTGAATAAACGATTTCTTCTTATTTTATTACTAACAATGACCTACTAAATACAGTGGACATTCTATGTTTGCAGCAATACAGTTTGCAGCAAACAAAATTGAAGTTTGTCAAGTCAAAATCATACCTAAATTTAAACACTTTAAAAATGCTTCTTATACTCCCTCTAACCTATAGATCACGAGAATGTGTTTTTTTATATTATCATTGTTTAAGTATTAATTTATTACTAGAGGTCGTCCAGTGGTCGAAATCTCGACCAAAACTATATAATGAACAGACTTCTCTATTTTCACCCCACACTGTAAATAAAACATATTATGATTGGGATTTCTTCGATTTTTATTTTCATTTTATATTTCTTTGTTATTTCGTACTAGCATGGCGACCCATAAAGCCCATGTTAAAATTTTAAAATCATTTTACGACCTCTTTTTTGAGCCTATTTTTATTTATAAAGGGATTCTGCACACCTACAGGAAAATATCTTTCAAACAATAAGCGCATTTTCCCTGCGATGCACACGAGCTGAGAAAAAACGTTTTAAAGAAACATGCTTGCCTATTAATATATAGATACGACTTAACCAATCTATATTTTGTTCATAAATAATGCATTTAAAACACTTTAATTTTTATTTCAATTTAATTTTAACATCAGCACTCTGGCATAACGAAACAAAATGCAAATAATGCAATAATGGATAGATGCAATAATGGATTCAATTAAATCTTGTAAATTTTTTATAATCGTCCATACGTTTTATAAATAAACTCAAATTTCAAACGAGCAAAAACACTCGCATAATACCAATTAGTTTAATTTTTAATTATTAGAATAGCTGACACAATTGATATTTCAACATTTAATGAACGAGCGAGGAATGACCGTGTACAGATTTAATCAGTCTGTGATGCAATATACAGTTAGAACAATACTCGCAGATACACCATATTGGTTACGTACTTGGGTTTCATTCCTGTGAAATACCGAGAAGCAAAAACACCATCTGTTATGTGAAACAACATTATGTTTATATTGGTTTGCGTCATATTGTCTTTATATTGCAATTTCAATTTTAATTTAAAAGAAAGGGTTGAATATCTTAAAATATATTGAAAAACGTGAATTAGGAAAAACATTTATAATTTAGTGAAACAAAATTTTGGTATTGATGCAGGGGCTAGTTTTTACAAATTCATAATACAGTAACTTAGTACGTCATGGCGCCACGCAGTCGAAGCTCACGATAAGTTTAGACAGTTTGAATATAGTTATTCCAACTTAAAGGGAAGAGCCGAGCTGGTATAGTACAACGGTAGAACGCGGTGCTTCGGAGCCAGTAGTCCTGGGTTCAAATCCCGCCAATCACCAATGGATTATATCAATGTGGTAATACCGCAACCCTCTAGGACTACTTGAAGTAATCTGAGAAACAGTTCCAGGCTAGACATAGCGTACTAGGATGTGAAGGTGGGAGGGACTAAAAAATAGAACCTAAAAGACACTCCAACATGGCCATACCGTACCATTTTCTACGAAAAAATAATTTTAATAACGAATCAATCTCAAATATTCAAAGTTTTAAGCGTTATAATCTCATCGCAGTTTTAGTTTAAGTGCCTGAAAGGTCGTGCATTGATTGCGCCAAGCCCTCAAAGGGTCCCACAAAATGTTCCTTGGTTCCGACAAGCCCTAGCCAGGTGGTAGGGGCGAGTTGCCGGCAGAAGGAATGCCCTTGTTTACGTGTCATCCATCCTAACCTAGCCTAACCCAACCTACTCCCTGGGAGTATTTAACGTAATTCAGGAACACCCGATTACAAAACGTCCCACATTCCCAAGTTCTGGACGGACTTGCCACTGTATTCAAGCTGAGACTGACCTTGAGGTATGATCCGAAGTACTTGGTGACGAAGGGACTGTCGCACTGGGACAGCACCATGATCTCCTGCTGAATATCCTCGATCTCATCTTCAGCCTCCTCTAGGTCTATGATCTTGATGGCCACCACCTGCTGCGTGCGGTTGTCGATTCCTTTGAACACCTCACCGAACGACCCCTTGCCGATCCTCTCCTGTTTCGTGAATATCAGCTCGGGGTCCACTTTCTGAAACAGACAAATACAATTATTACACAAGGTAGCTTGGGTGTACCGCGAAAATGACAGCTGGGGATGAAACGTAGATTCAAGTAGTCTCTTTTTCTGAAAGCTAATAAAGTTTGTGGTTTGAAACTTAAGGGACATAAGGGAGTTTAGATAATGGACTCCTTCCGCAATGGGTAGTAGGACGCTAAGATTAGACCATACGATTGAATTGAAAGAACGAAGAACTGCACAAGAATAACAAATAATTAAGTCTTTTCATGTAGACTAGGGATAGTCATTTTGGCCTAAGAAGCCTATAACTTTCCTCCAAAAGCGAAAATAAGTGAGGTGGATTCCAAACCACTAGGACATGGCATATTATATTGGCATTGTTGATTAGTGGGATTTGAACTCGTTCGTTCAGTATAAATGTTGCACGCTCTTATTCCTAGACAACAGGGAACATCCGTTTACATCATGATTAGGCAATCGTAATATTTTTATATAATTGCGAATATTTAGTATATTTTATCATACAATTCCGGCCATCGAAGATTAACTACACTGTACTTGAGATCTAAGGGTTTAAAACAAATTGTTTGTCACAACAATGAAGAATATTGTTTCCGATATTTTATTATCATAAATTAACAATAGTTATAAACAAACTGACAAAAGAGATGAACACTACTATAGCATCACTTCATCAACAAGAGTTTTCCTGAGGGTAGAAACTCATTAATTTCAACTCCAATAATCCAATCCTAACAAGAAGTGAACGAGTATAATTTTACAAGACTGATAATGTCCAATCAAGTACAGTAGCACTGTCCAACGAACCTTCCCTGGGAAAGAGCAACCTGACTAGGGAAAAATGCAAGTTGTTTTAATCTTCCTCCGGTAGTGAATTACGTGGTAGAACATTCCACTAGTGATGTCTCTGGAACCGGTTGTTTAGGCGCGCCAATATCGCGAACCGGTTGTCGTGCCAGTGGGCTATCAGCACAAGGTCGATGTCCGCTGATAACCAAGTCCTCGCTATCACTACGACAGTTTGGTGGAACCGGTTGTAGTGTTAGCAAGCTATCAGCACAAGGTAAATGGTCCACTGATAACCAAATCTTCACTATCACTACTACAGTTTGGGGAAACCGGGTGTAGTGTTAGCAAGCTACATATCAGCACAAGGTAAATGGTCCGCTGATAACCAAGTCCTCACTATCACTACGAATGTTCGGTGGAACCGGTTGTAGTGTTAGCAAGCTATCAGCACAAGGTCGATGTCCGCTGATAACCAAGTCCTCACTATCACTACGAATGTTCGGTGGAACCGGTTGTAGTGTTAGCAAGCTATCAGCACAAGGTCGATGTCCGCTGATAACCAAGTCCTCACTATCACTACGAATGTTCGGTGGAACCGGTTGTAGTGTTAGCAAGCTATCAGCACAAGGTCGATGTCCGCTGATAACCAAGTCCTCACTATCACTACGACAGTTTGGGGAAACCGGGTGTAGTGTTAGCAAGCTATCAGCACAAGGTCGATGTCTGCTGATAACCAAGTCCTCACTATCACTACGAATGTTCGGTGGAACCGGTTGTAGTGTTAGCAAGCTATCAGCACAAGGTCGATGTCTGCTGATAACCAAGTCCTCACTATCACTACGAATGTTCGGTGGAACCGGTTGTAGTGTTAGCAAGCTATCAGCACAAGGTCGATGTCCGCTGATAACCAAGTCCTCACTATCACTACTACAGTTTGGGGAAACCGGGTGTAGTGTTAGCAAGCTACATATCAGCACAAGGTAAATGGTCCGCTGATAACCAAGTCCTCACTATCACTACGACAGTTTGGTGGAACCGGTTGTAGTGTTAGTAAGCTATCAGCACAAGGTCGATGTCCGATGATAACCAAGTCCTCGCTATCACTACGACAATTTGGTGGAACCCGTTATAGTGTTAGTTAGTTATCAGCACAAGGTCGATATCCGCTGATAACCAAGTCCTCGCTATCACTGATAACCATGTCCTCACTATCACTACGACAGTTTGGGGAAACCGGTTATAGTGTTAGTTAGTTATCAGCACAAGGTCGATGTCCGCTGATAACCAAGTCCTCACTATCACTACGACAGTTCGGTGGAACCGGTTGTAGTGTTAGCAAGCTATCAGCACAAGGTCGATGTCCGCTGATAACCAAGTCCTCACTATCACTACGACAGTTCGGTGGAACCGGTTGTAGTGTTAGCAAGCTATCAGCACAAGGTCGATGTCCGCTGATAACCAAGTCCTCACTATCACTACGACAGTTCGGTGGAACCGGTTGTAGTGTTAGCAAGCTATCAGCACAAGGTCGATGTCCGCTGATAACCAAGTCCTCGCTATCACTACGACAGTTTGGGGAAACCGGTTGTAGTGTTAGCAAGCTATCAGCACAAGGTCGATGTCCGCTGATAACCAAGTCCTCACTATCACTACGACAGTTTGGGGAAACCGGTTGTAGTGTTAGCAAGCTATCAGCACAAGGTAAATGGTCCGCAGATAACCAAATCTTCACTATCACTACGACAGTTCGGTGGAACCGGTTGTAGTGTTAGCAAGCTATCAGCACAAGGTCGATGTCCGCTGATAACCAAGTCCTCACTATCACTACGACAGTTTGGGGAAACCGGTTGTAGTGTTAGCAAGCTATCAGCACAAGGTCGATGTCCGCTGATAACCAAGTCCTCACTATCACTACGACAGTTTGGGGAAACCGGTTGTAGTGTTAGCAAGCTATCAGCACAAGGTAAATGGTCCGCAGATAACCAAATCTTCACTATCACTACGACAGTTCGGTGGAACCGGTTGTAGTGTTAGCAAGCTATCAGCACAAGGTCGATGTCCGCTGATAACCAAGTCCTCGCTATCACTACGGCAGTTTGGTGGAATCGGTTGTAGTGTTAGCAGGCGATCAGCACTTCCTAACAAGTTCCTAATAATCAAATTGATCAACAAACATCCAATATATCCATAAGACGCTGAGTGATACCGTCCACGTTCGTTTTGTACTAGTTTATTCTAGGGTAGGTTGTCTAGGCCTAACTAATTGAAAAACAGCAAACTCACAAGTGTATCAACTTCCCTATACAAAAAAAACCTTTACAAGACTAACAGCTTGTGAATATAGGGTACAAAGTATTCAGCCAAATGTGAGAAGGTGGCTACAGTACGTTGTCTCCTACATCACTGGTGTGAAAGCTGGCGTCACAGCAGCAACACTTGAGAAATGTATAAGGTCAAACCCGGACTGTGTTGAAACTGGCGGCGCCGATAATCGCCTTTCATGTCACTACAGATTGCGAGTTCCGCGACATTGCTAACCTACATGTTAAACGAGGGGTTGAAGGATACCCATCAGTCATCACTCGTGCAAAAGGTTCAGCCAAAGACAAATTGTTGACTCCTTTTTTCTTTAAGGGTAAAATTTCCACCTCAGAAGAGGTGTCTACGTCTAACACAATCGCTCTAATTATCACGAGAAAAGATTCAATGAATCTTTTAGCCAACGTTAGGGACATAATCTTGAAGAAGTCAATACAGTAATACAGGTTATCATAAAATATTGTATTAGTAAGGTGGAGAAGATAACAAAATAGGGTCCTGAAAAATATCAGTAAAAACATTAAAATCAAAATGAACGTTTCATGCATATTTCACATAGGCTCTAAGTAAATAATACCTTATTCCTCTTGACCTTTTACATAGGCTATCCCTCTAAATTCGCATTCCATTTAGAAGATTACAGAAATACTGAAGTTTAATTTTACCGATAAATAACGGAAAACCCCCTCATATTTTTTTTACTTGATCAAAACTAAGCCAACTAAATTAAATCATTAGAACGAGAAATCCTTCAACATCAAATGCAGAAGATGAAGAACCAGATCGATTGCGCAAACATTATTAGCGCATGAAAAACATGTTTTTCTCGAGATTCATAACTAGAACATGAGCAATAGTAGGGGGAGAAGAGGGTATCCTCTGAGACTCAATTATGTCTGATACTTTATAAGGTCGGAACAGTGCTTTAGATCAGTTTCTACTGTATCTACAATTTAAACCCGTGTCGTAGCTTTACAAAAATTGAAATAATATGGCAACTTCTTCATGCATGTTAAATAGAGTACATCACAAAGCCTTAAGAGGTATTGTATTGGGTAACAATTTCAAATTAAATATTGCACTGAACAGTAGAATATAATAATACTATTGCCACAGAACTCGAGGGATAATCCGATAAAAAAAAAAAAAACCAGGCCGAGTGGTCTTAAAAACCATATCAATAAAACTAGAGTTCATAGATACAATCGGCACTGACGTTCTATTGAACTATCGAATTCTATAGACGTCCAATGGTTCAATGCAGTTCAAAACTGAACAAATACAATTCTAAAACAGTTTCAACTAAATTAACCAGACTGTTGACGGCACGACAAGCTGCATATTGCAGTAGGATGACCTTGATATCGACCCACGTCCACTGAAGGTCACTGATATGACTTATCATGCAAACCCTTGCCTTCACAACTCTCCACTTTTAGTAATTGTTGGAAGTTATTCTAATTAAAAGCCTGTTCAATCTATTAACAATTTAAATACTGTACAAAGTAGGTGATGCATATAAGCATCCTATTGATCAAGTAGGTAGTGCAATAAATAATAGTGGGAAATTAACAACAATTGATAATTACATACTGGCAAAAACTTTTGTGAAAGTTAGCAAATTTAAAATACAGGTAAAATTAAAAGTAGTTGTGTAAAATGTTGACTAAATGCGTTTTAACCAGCGAACACAGAATACAAATTTATTCTGTGTTCGCTGGTTTTAACCGACATATGACACTTCATAGAATTCACCAAAGTCGTAGATACGTTTTAAGCCGGATAATACCTTTCTCGAATCATTAAAGCTATCAAAAACATTCAAATAAATACACTATGCCAAAATTAGCATCCTAAACTCTTTGGAAAAAGGTGAATAA